GCTCTAACTCTCCTGGACCACTTCACCTTTTTGGTTTATATGGAAGTTATATTTCCAAAATGCTGAAGGCACCTCGTGGAAAGCTAAGTCGTTGCCTTATTTCACTGGTGTAACTGCAAGTTAATGTCACCTGTTGATTGGAACAAGCATAATTTGAAAGAAAAAAAAAACAGAATTTGATTTTAAAAAATTGACAATTTGCTCCACATCAGCATAAAACCTGAAGTCTGTCTGCCTCTCTGTAGACTTGGGATGCAGTTATTCTGGAGTAATGAAGTGTTTGTCCACTCTGTGACATGAAGGTGTCGTTATTTCTGCAGTTGTCACAGCGAAGCTTAACTCTACATGATCCACGATGGCACACGGGCACTAACACATGGTTTAGATCTGATCCGTTCTGACCCAGAGTCCGTCAGATTGTCTCCTGCTTTAATTTCTCATGAATGAATGTTCATTTGTTTCAGAGTTCCTTCACTCGTGGTAGATTTTGCTAAATTCAACATGAAGCTGTTCATAATGTGCACAGACGCAGTTACTACACATGAGAATTACACATTTGAGTTTGATTCATGTTACATGTGTGATCCTCAGACGTACCGACAGAAACTACACACAGCTAAAGAGAAGACTCTTCACAGTAAAGTCAGAATGACAAAAGGAGACGAGCATCGGAACATCTGCATGTCTCCAGCTAGTCCAGAGATCAACAGCTCTTCTACAAGTTTAGAAAGTTGAGTGTTCCTACCTGTGCCAGAGGCTTTCCCAGCGCTACAGCCATAAGCTCATTAAGTCGCCGTACGGCAGCCGACTCGTCCTCTCGCTCTGTTAGTAGCTCTAATGTGTTCATTCCTGCACTCAGACCAACAATAAGGGATGTGCTCGCTGCCTATGGACCATTACATCATCAGCATGTCCTTATATGGAGCTTTGCATTGCAGAGGCTGGCTGGAAGGGGTGTGCTCGCTGCTATGTGCTCTCGTCTGCTCAAGTCACTGTTTCACTCCAGTTTGTGGCAAAGAAGAGCTTTTTGTTGACGCGTGTAATGTGTGAAATAT